ACCGAATTTTATCTTAATGGTCTAATTGGATTTATAATGTGTATATTTTTAAAAAAATGGATCTAAACTTTAACCTACTTAAAATTATCTAACATCTAAACTTAGTTTAAAAATTAAAGATATATTTGATTGAACCTAAGTTAAAAGGATACCAAATCATCCATATTATATTATATTTCACTTTTAATATTATTATGTATAAACCAAAAATCTTAAAATCCGAAAAACTCAAACTCAAACTGAATAAAATTTTTTATTAAACACCATTTGATAAAAACAAAATTATTTGTTATTTTAAAAAATAATATTTATTATGGGACATCATCTTGTAACAATAGATATCAGGGAAAAGTTTTTATAATGCAAGTGTGACCAAATCAATATGATGAAATCAAGTAGTTATTTTGTATCATAATAAATAATAAAACCGAATTTTAAGGCAAAAAATAAAAAGAAAAAAAAAGGAAAAGAGTGAGGAGAGGAATCACATGTTGTCACCTAATATTCCAAGTCTTATGTCAAAGTGGATAAGTCTCTATTCACATCTCCTCCGTGTCTCTCTTTTCTTTTCTCTTCTTTCTCTTTTTTATAAATCCAATATTCGTTGACAACAACAAAAAAATATCTAACATTAACCTATACGTAAGTTAAAGAGCAACCCTAATATGAATTCATATAAATTAAGAAATTATGGATGGATCTTAACATTCTCACAACAACTTAACTCTTCCTACTTCCTAGCTAGTCATCAATATCTATGAGCTTGACAAAATGTGTTAAAAGAAGACATGTAAATTCTAAAAGTTAAAAGAGAGATGGGAGCTAGAAAAATGGACAAGAGAGTATGTAGTAAGTTTTCAAATTCAACATTGAAGAAAAGCACTTTCAAAATGTCTAATGATCAAATGTTGGCTTATAAAAAGATGCCTCTTTATCCTGTTCTCTCTCTTTGTCTCTCTACATAGACATAACCTTATAATATAAACAAATCATTGTAACGTTCATGTGGGGGTTTCAAAAAAATAATCATAATAATTATTGCAACAATATAACAAGTTGGTTGTGCAATAACCTTTAAAATTATATCAAATTAATTATAACTATTTCTTTAGTGCAGAGACCTTGATTGTCTCATTAGCCAAGCTCATGTGAATTAACAAAGATAAGATAATCTCCAAAACTATTTAAATGAGTGGGTGGAGAGTCGTTTTCTATAGACATTAAATCTAACCCATGGTTTTATTATTACTTTCTCTTTTTTTATTGGGTAACAAAGAGAAACGTAACAAAAAGATACTATATGGTACTGATAATAATAAATAGTATAGGGATATTTAAATGAAAGATTTAATTTTTTCTACCCGTGCAAATAATGTCAAATCGAGAAAAAAAGAAAAAAGAGAGTGGATGGTAATAAGAAAAGGGAAATTAAGACCCCACAGCTTGTGAAATTGTTGTAACCGACCCTACCCTATTGTCAAATAATTCGAATATACAATAACATTTGATATATGGACATATAAAATAATAATAACAATGTTAATAAATACTATAGTTATGGATGAATTGACTGGTGCCCCCACATCAATGATTATGATGCATTTTACACATAGATATATCATATATGTATGTGTTTATAAAGAAAAACATATTTAATTACATACTTATATTTGGAACACAGTTTGGTCCATGTAAAATTGTAAATACTTGGTTTAGGCTTTTCGACAGAAATGGAGGAAAAAAGACCTTTAACTATTTCCATTTTTTTGTTTTCTGTTTTAAAAGTTCTGACAAGACATGGCAATTAAGCGACTTGATGAAAAAAGTAGACTTAACTATGTCACTTATCTTTTTATAAGTGTACAATTTTAAGTGAAGATCATGTTTGTTTGGGTGAAATGTATGAAATAGGATATCAAATTTTCAACCATTTGTACATGAACGGCTAAAATCATTGTAGATTTACACATAAAACGTTGTGTTTTTGTTTTTTGAATTCAGAAAATGATTTTATGAACAAGTGTGGCAGGATACTGATTTTATCAAATTGGTTTAGTGACTTAAGTAAATCTTAAAAAATTATAGATGATGAGTTGTTGGCTATGGTTAAGTCACTTATTTGTAAACTTTTTGATTGGAAGAAAGCTAAATGTATCAAGAGTAATCAACCATGAAATATATATACAAAAGTATTTTTACATATATGTTCCAATGTCGTTCTAATTTGGTATCCAAATAACAATCATGGATAGAATTTGTTTCTTGTTTTGATTGTTCATCTTATATTCATTTTCTTCATCTTTCATTTTAAAATTACACAATTTTTTATTCATGTAAGCTTGTTAATTTATCAGTTTTCATTTTCCTTTGAAAAGAATCAACACGTATTCAGTATTCCACATGAAAACCTCATTTGACTAGGGAAACGTATTTCCTTGATTATGTTGAAAAAAATACATCAGTATATACAAGTACATGAAGAGATAAGATTAAGATCTAAAACGAACTATATATTAGTGTATATATTTTTTAATGTCCCTTCAAGATGGTCTGCGGTTTGCAAAACCGATCTTGTTTAACAAAAAATAATCATTTGAACTAAACTCGAAATATAGCTTTTGTGAGAACATCAACTAGATATCCATAGAAGATACATGCGAGATACAAAGGATATCTATCATATAGTAAATCGTAATGTATTTCATGTAAAAATACAATACCGTACATTATTTACATCAGCTATATTATGTTCCTTAAGTTTGAGAAGTAGCACATCATAATCTTCAATATAATTGTTCTTCCTCTTGGTTCCTACAAATTTTATGGAATTCGCCAATAGCGATCATAGTTTCGTTTTCTTGTATTTTGATGATCAACTATCGATTATATTTTTCAAAGGTTCAATGGATCATATTAGAATATTTGGATTATTGTTATGATTGGGAATGATCTAGAAACTAAGAGTACTGAATCCATGATCCTATGTTACAAAATCAAACCTATAAAATCTAGAAGCAATGTTCCAATAATAGTAAAATTTTGTACATACGATCAATCATAATGTTGTTGATCATTGCTTGTGTGGTTAACCAATCCCATGGGGCTTGAATTAACGTTAACCACATAATTCTGTTGTTGCATCACAAGTCTATACGTATTAACCTTAACCACACAAACAAACAAAGAATCAAAAAATAAAAAAATACTGATAATTCATTACTTTTTTTAATGGTAAGAAATAAAAAAGTTTCAATCCAAGTAATAAAACTCTACCGCATGACAATTGAATAAGAAAATTTTGTGTTGAAAAAATATTTATTATTTTCGTTAATTAATAAATGACGCTAGCATTTTAATTATTATATATGCTCTCTTTATTAATACTACTAAAACGTTGATTGATTTTAAAATTAATAATCCTTTTCATTAATATTATATATTATAGATATATACCATAATAGTCCTACAACTGTATTTAAACAATCTAACATCAATTCAACCAAAACATTATTTTATAATGAAAACGATCGAATAATTTACATCTTGAAGACAAACAGAAAATGATTTATTGTCTTCAAAAAGAGTCCAAATTGTGATGTTTCTTTAAGAAATCCGGCAAAATAATACACAAACCGATAGGTACTGCATGAACAAATATCTAACACGTTTTACAAGCACGAGCCACTTATTTTATTATTATTTTTCTCTTCAAATTTGAAATGCAACATGAAAAAAAAACAAAAAAAAACCAACGAAAATCTTAGAAACAAAATAGTAATCCAATAAACGTTCGTATTACCTCTCATACATTGTTGGGAGATCTTAATCTCAATCTCGATTTATAGTCTTGCAATTTAAGTTCTTAAGTTTAGTTCGTAATATCAAATTATCTAGGTTGATTTCTGAACATAAATATAAACATAACGAGTCAATTCCATTATCCATATTTATTTTGATTTATAAATCCACCTAAGCTTTTTTCAGAACTAAAAACAAGAAAAAATTCCACCTAAGCTATACGGTTTTATTAGTTAGTTGAAAGGCCAATTTGAAAGAAAATGAACCAAATTTTAACGTGTCAAGATTTTGGGAAATGTCTAAAGTTGGTTCAATAAAGAATTAAAATGAGATTACCGAAACAAAAAAAGTCATAAGATTAAAACAATTAAGGTAATAAAAACGAAAAAAGATTAATTCTAAAGCAAAAAAAAAAAGAGAGAGAATATGAGACGTTGTTCAAGAACAGCTCTGGCACTCCACAACTATCGAGAGCCCACGAGCTTCTCTCTTCTCTCAATGCTGTCGTCACTAAACTAAACTTTTAAAAACAGATTCGTAAATAAATTCGTAACGTTTAAAGTTTAATTAATCAAAATTGCAAGGTTTATCAAAAGATGAGAAACTAAAAAATTAAAGATCGTGTCATACTCTTTTGTTCCCTTATATGCTTACATGTATTAAAACGATACCGTTTTAAGATTACACAAAAATGATACTCCCTCCGTATTTTAATAAGTGTCGTTTTAGGATTTTCTTTTTTAAAAAATTAGATGTCGTTTTCAAATTTCAATGCAAAATTTCTTACTTTTTAATGTTTTATGATGTCATAAAACATTAAAAAGTAATAAATTTTGCATAGAAATTTGAAAACGACATCCAATTCAAAAAAATAAAAATCCTAAAACGACAATTATTAAAATACGGAGAAATTTGGATCAAAATTAAAATATTATCCACTGCACGATTTCTCAGGTGTTTTTGAGTTTCGGAAGTACTAAATTTTAGAGATACTGTAAGATTTTTATTCGGGAATAGTAATTTTATTTTTTTTCACCGTGGACGGTACTAAAGTACAAAGTGGTAAAAACCCCTTGTAAAGAAAAAACAAGAGAGGTCATAACAACTACAAAAAGGTAAACAAAAAAAAGCGAATATATGGTAATGTTATATATTTTTAATAATTGTCTTTTTTACCTTGAAAATTAGAAAAAGAAAGAAAAAAAAAACTCCAAAATTTTTTATTTAGGGCTTTTCCTTAAAGAGTGAAGCTAATCCGGTGACAGCCTTCACTTCTCTCTCCACCGCCACGTCATCATCGCCGTCGTTTGGAGAGGAGGAAGAATTAATATTCACTCTCGGAGATAAACATTTCTCCTCAAAAACCAGCTCAATCTCTACACCACTATCCACCTCCCTCTCCGCCGTGTCCGCCGTCACCACCGCAACATCCGTCTCCGTCTCCGGCTTCTCATCAACAACAACAACAGCTCGTGTATAAGAAGATAACCATTTAGATCGCATATACTCAGCTTTCCTCCACGGAGGAAAATGCATTCCTTTCTTCTTCAAACTCTGTTTCGCCGCCTCCGATATCAAAAACACGATCTGACTTAACCGATCAGATTTTCCGACGAAAATGAACGGTAGAGATTGAAGCAACGCCTTGTAACCACTCGTTTGTCTCGCTATATCAAACTCTGATCGGAAATCTACATCGATTATTAACCTTTCTTCTCCGATTATCACATCTATGTACTCATATTCACCTGAAAAATTAAAGAGTTTCTATAAATTCATGTTCATGAAAAAAAAAAAAAAAGTTGTTGGTGTGTTGAAGAAGATGAAGATTATTGTTTACCAGCTGGGAACGAAGGAGATTTATCCCATTTAGATTTGCAGATTGAAGAATTGTAATTAAGTGATAAGAGTCCTTCGTTGACGATCTTCTTCATATCGTCTTTTCGTTTCACCGATTTGTTCTTATCTACAATCTTCGCCGCGTCGGCTAACAGATTCCTCTCGCCGACGGTTGTGCACGGAATCAAACTCTGATTAAGATCAACAAATTCAAATTCAGTTTTAGGTTAATCAACAGAAATCGAGAGATTGAAGAACAAGTGAGAGATGTTGTTTACCTTGAGATGATCAGAAGCGTCGCAACCGTCAATTGAACCACCGAATAGATCTGATTCATCATCGGAGTAGCTATCGTTGTTGCCGTTAAAGCAATTGCAACGATTACGTCCACATTTAGCTTGTTTCTCGTTGTTTTCTTCTATGAAGTTCTGAACCATCTTCGCTAAGCAAACAGAGCTTGGTTCGAACTCCGTCACTACTCCGCCGCCGCCGCTACATTGAACTTCACCACCGGTGACGAATGGTTTCTCTGTGGTTGCTGTTGTTGCGTTTCTCGTGAACGGCCGATCAAACAAACGTTTGAGACGAGATTTGAGCACCGGTTTGTTGCCTGATTCAGCTCTAGCTACAGCTGGAGAAGAATCGATATCAATCGGTTGGATCTTCATCGTAAATGGCATAGCTCTCGATCTAACTTCTCTTCACAAGTCACCAAGTCAATTCAAATTCAAACACAGATTTGATTTCATATACACTAATCTCAGATCTCTCCAACAAAAACGAAACAAACTCTTCAAAAATTCCAAAATTGGATTCAAGAGGAAGAAGAAGAAGGAAACAGAATCTAACAAAACCTCTCAGCTAAAAACCAGAAGAAAACTTCTGAAAATCAGCGGATCATCTTCACAAAAACGAAGCAAAGAATAATAACAACAAAGAAAGAAAAAAAAAAAGTCTAAGAGAAGGATCAGAGTTTTTTTTCACGGAAGACGTGACGGCGATGGTAAGAGTCGACAGCGTTACTAGTAACGGAAACAGAAATAGTAACCGGAATATTCATTTTCCCGGCGAGATTCATCGCCGGAGAAGTTCAAAAGGTAAGCGACAAATCTAGAGAGGAAAAATTATTATACAAGAAAACTTATTTTTGTGATAATTTGTTTATTTTTTCTTATGTGTGTGTGTGTGGATGGTGTGGGTAAAGAGAGGTTGGCTTAATCTTATAAAGGAGCAAGAGAGAGAGATCCGAAGCTGAAGAGACTACAGAGGTAAATGCTGACTAGGCACTGTAAATGCCACGTCGGATAATATTTTTCTTACAGTTTTAGTGGGAGGAGATAGTTTTTTTTTTTTTTTGTCGTTTTCATCTTAGCGTGGTGGTGAATCCTTTTTACTGGAGACGTGTCAGTAATTGTGGTAATAGTAAAATTACGTTTTTGTCCTCCACTATTGTGGAATACCGGGCATATCCGAAAATGGATTATTCGTTTTTGGAAACTGATTTTAATCCAATAGTTAAGTAACACGTGTCTTAAGTAAATCTATCAGTCCTTGTAAAAATTAATTTTTTTTTTTTTTAATTGTATGATCGGGTTATTTTGAGTAATGAGATAATGTCAGTAAAATAGGGGAAAACAATATTGAACTGACCACTAAAGGACAAAAGAAGAAAAAGGCTGAGAGTTTTTTTTTTTTATAAGTAAAAGAAAAAGTAAAAGTTATGGCAGTAATAATCTGAATGTTGAAATGATAACAATATATAGTATTATTACTATAAGCTATTTAAAGATATTTTAAAACTTTATACCCATGCTGTAATTATGAGACTTTAAGCTTTACTTTATTAACCCACATTAAAATCACAAACCATTAAAGAAAAATTACTAAAAATCATGCAAAAGAAGGGGCCCAAATATTTGACCGTTTGGTCTATTCATATAAAGAAAAGTAAAAGTAAACAAAAGAAAAATGAAAATAAAAGTTTAAATAGAGTAAAAAAGAAAAAGGTGGAATCGAGAATTTAAAGAAATGTACGGTTTAAAAAAGAAGATGAGTCTTCCTTTGTACGCATGTATGCAATTATCCTAGCTGCTGGTAAATTAGAGGACAATGTAAACAAATACATTATGAGAGTTTCAATAGTGACTACTCATACGTATTTTTATACCTATCAATCATGTACTACTATTGTATTATTTTATTATATACATGCCTCGATTTTCATGTTCTAAATTGTACCATGTATTATTGTACTAGAACATGTATTTTGTTTTTGTCAACGTACTAAAGTTATTGATATTGTACATGTTTTACTCATTATAAGACGTGCATATTTTCAAACTTGAAAAGAAAAGAAATTCTTAAGCTTTATTTTAATATATAGGTAAGTGTTGTGGAACTCTGTTTTATACAGTAATTGTTCTGTTGAATAAAGCAAATACTCGATTATTTATTCGTGTGTGAGTGTTAAAAGAGTAATGCTACATTGCTATTGCAATATACAAAATGGAATTAATTATAAGTAACATTGAAAAACACGAAAAAGGAAGTGAAGATTCGTCTCCCCAAAACGAAAAGCTGATGATACTTTCCCTCTACAGCAATCAAGTTATCAAAACCCTTTTTCTTATCACTTTATTTCCCCTTTTTTCCCCTGTGTATAGACATGGGAATATATATGTGATATAGACATGTATATATGTAACTAAGTGGACTAATGTCGGATTTTTTTAGCTAGCAAAATAATTCAAATTTTATTTAATTTGAATTTATTAAACTATTTGTCAAATAAATCAAATTAAATAAATTATAATATGTATATTAAATTTTAAACATATCATAAATTATATTTAGTGTTGAAGAATTTTTGGAAAAACCACATTGATATCCGAAGTAATTTTCAGTGTCTGATTTGTAGTTTATATTTACAACTTTACAATAGTCGCTTTCTGTTGAATCTTGTGAATAAATGTAGAGAAAAACGATAATCAAATTTCAACACGAACAAATATTTGAACTAAAAAAATGTTTTACCTAGCTAAAACAAACACTAAAATAACCAAACATTACTTACGAATATTTTTTAATACACACTTCAACTCTAACTCTAACTCTAACTCTAATTAGATTAATTAACCCTTATTCTAAAGGTACTTAAATACTGTGGTTCATTCAGCTAATTATAAGTTCCAATTACAGGTTATTGACAATATTGCAGATTAATTTGCAAGTCGTGATATGCATAAACGTTAATACGTTGCAGTTTTGAGTTTTCTATCTACTGTATATGAAAGTTTTTTCACTTTTGAAAAAATGATTTGTTGACACAATGGGTAACAAAATCCCAGCATTTATGTGCAAATATGTTTTTAAAACATATCATCCCCTAGTTTTTTGTTTCTTACCTTTATTATTTCTTAGATTCCCAAATAATAATAATAATAATAATAATAATAATAATAATAATAATAATATCGAGTTCGAAAATCAAATGGATTCCCTTTTTTGGGCTTAGAATACTCCTTTCCAACAAGAGTCTTTGCCTTGGTTGGTTTAGTGAGCTTAGACCGGAAAAACTTCTTTCCCTTTGACCTAACGTTCCTGTTTTCTCTTTGCGCAGCCTCTTTTGCTTTTGCTTTATCGACTTTTCAAGCTTTTTCTGTTTGTTCATCATTGTTCTTACTGCTGTTCGATTTCGATCATGTCTTCGGCCATGGATAAAGCTATGATGGCTATGTCTCTTGAGGAAGACGATCTCCCGTTCGATATGCCAGATCTCCCTGAATTCTCATCTTGCGAAAGAAATGTTTTAAGCTTGGTAGGTCGCACTCTGAACCCAGAATGTCAGACGATGAAGCACCTGATCCGTGACATGCCTCGGAAGTGGCAGAAGATCGGTCGAGTCCGTGGTATTGCTCTTTCTCCAGAGAAGTTCCAATTCATCTTCAACTCCAGTCATGACCTCGAGGAAGTCTTAGAAAAAGGGGTCCATACATACAACGAATGGGCTCTAGCGGTAGAAAGATGGGTTGAGCATCCTCCTGACAGCTTTCTTCAGTTCATTCCCATATGGATCCAGATTTGGAAGCTTCCAATCAATTTCTACACATCTAAAGCCATTTCCTCTCTTGCGGATCTTATTGGTCAAGTTAAAATTGTAGAATTCGAGCCCGACAAGCCGCAGATTCTTCCTTATGTTCGTGTTTTGGTCCTTTTCGATATCTCTAGGCCTCTTCGTCGCGCTAAAGTTGTCAACTTGCCTCATGGAGGTACTACCACGGTTCAGTTTGAGTATGAGAGGATTCAAAAAAGGTGCTATGAATGTCAGCGATTAACCCATGAGAGAGATACTTGCCCTCTGTTTCTGAGAAAAAAAGAAGCACAAGCAGATGCGAAAGGAAAAGGTTCTGCTAGAGTTCCGGTGGTAAAGGTTCCTTTCCTCAAGCCTTCGGATTTGCTTTTTGGGATCCTGGAAGAGCATCAGGTCGGGATTAATCCCTTCACTGGTCGCCAGAGAATTGCTCCTGAAGTTTTAGAAGGTATGAGACAGTATGTCAATGTCTCAAATGCGGATGAGAGGCTAATCAGAATCGAAAGAATTAGAAAATCAGTTAAAGAAGTTGAGAGTGATCCAGTATTGGCCAAGTCTTATCTTCAATTGGAACCTCCTCCGGTGGTTGCTTCTGTTTCGACTAAGTCCAAGGGCATTGTGTTCAGCTATGAAGATCAAGTGGGTTTTCAGTCATCACAGCTCCATCCGTCTATTAGTGCAGACCCGGTTCCCACCTCCTTCATTTCTGCAGTTGGTGATCTTAACCTTGTTGACCAGCCTGCGTCTCTTCCTTTGTGTGACCCAAAGGAATTCCTCTGCTTAGCTCAGCCTTCTCAGAATATTTCTACGGTGTATAGAACTGGTTGCTTTGCAACTAGTTCTTCCGGGAATATTCCGAAGAATACTAAGCAAAGAAAAAGACCAAGCAAAATTACCAGAAAACTCAAGCAGGCTGCCTCTTTGGTTCCCAAGGAAGCTGTCAATATAGAGGAAGGGTTAAATTCTGGTTTCTTGGTCCAGAAGAAGAGAAATAATGCAGGACATCCAGTGAATGAAGAAGCAGTTCCACCTATCTTAAAGTTGGGTTTTGAGATAGGTCAGCAAGACAAAAGAAAGGCAGTGGAAGAGTTGTCTACCCCATCCAAACTCTCCAAACCCAAACAATCAAAGGTGATCCCAATGGAGGGATCGCCCAATGTTTAATGAGCATCGTGAGCTGGAATTGTCAGGGTTTGGGACGGTCTCAAGACCTGACAATTCACCGTCTCAAGGAATTGCGTAGCAAACTTTTCCCTGAGATGTTGTTCTTGATGGAGACAATGCATGGTCGTGATGTTTTAGTTGATTTGCAGGAGACGCTTGGTTATGACAGAGTTTATACAGTGGAACCTGAAGGTCATAGTGGTGGGTTGGCTTTATTTATTAAGGCTGGTGTTACAGTGGATCTGAGATTTGTAGATAAGAATCTTTTGGATTTTCATGTTCAGTTTGGTGCTGTCTCTTGCTTTGTGTCTTGTATATATGGTGATCCTGTTTTCAAGAAGAGACTTCTCAATTGGGAAAGGTTAAGTAGAATTGGGGTTGGAAGAAGAGACCCTTGGTGTATAGTCGGTGACTTTAATGATATTTTGCACAATGGAGAAAAGATTGGCGGTCCAAGAAGAGGTGATTACATCTTTAAACCTTTCTCAGAGATGATTGCTGC